TATCTATTGAATAAAGTTAACTATGATTTGAAGTCAAAAAGGTAATAATTATGACTTAAAATCAATCAACATAATATGATATTTAATTAAGAAGTTCATTTAATTAATAAGAATAAAGTTATATATTTTGTATTTATAAAATATGTGTGACGTTATTATTATTATTTGTTGTTAATTGTATTTAATATTTTAAATCTATCTTTTTTCTAAGGTATTTTCATGTTTTTATATAATTAAAGAAAATCACTGACAATAATTATATTTATAATACTATTAATAATAATAACAGTGCTAACAGATATACTAATAAAATAAATGATAATAATAATAAATATAATAAAATTAATAGAAATAATATAAATAATAAATATGTTAAAAATAATAATAATTATAATAATAAAAATAATAATAATATTAACTGTATTATAATTGGCAGATTTATCATATTTAAGTAGATTTGTCATATTTAACAGGTTTATCAGTTTTTACTAGTTTCAATGTAGAAAAACTTTATAAATTTTTTTTATGTAGATAAAAGCTTTATAATATTTTTTATATAAATAAAATTTTATGTTTTTTTTAAAAATCTTTACGAATTTTTTATTATATAAATATAAAAAAAATTACATTTTAAATTCAAATAAAATAATAAAAACAATAAATATAGAAGGGTTTTTTATTTTAATTAATTATTTAATATTTTTTTAAAAATTTTTAATTTTTTTATTAATGATTTATTGATATTTTTAAGAATTTTACTTCATCAGAACACATTTTTTTAGTCAATAATCATTTGGTATTCTAATAAAAAATCATATAATACTTCTGGTTAATCATAATTGTATCACGTGATTTGCTTTCACTTTAGATAATATTCTAAAAAAGCAATTCTATATTATACAAAGTTCTATTATGATAATTTTTAGTGTTCTAGCTAGAATTAAATATAACTTTTAATAAATATTATGTAATATATGATAATATATAATTTATTTTCTAATAATCTAAACCTAAAAAATTATTTTTATGGTAATAGTGATTTGCATTTAATAGTGATTATAAAAAGGGTTTTTTTAATTTTAAATGTTTAAGACTGTAAAATTAAGTGATTATAGACAGAATGTAATTATATATGGAATGATTATAAATAGATCTAACTATAATATTTTTTTTAAAAATTTTTTAATATCTAATTTTTTTAAAATTTTTTATATTTTAATATTTAATTTATCATTTAATGATACATATATCATCTTATTATATAATTGATTTATATTATGAAATTTTAGATTGAATTATAAAATTATGAAAATGATTTATGTGATAGTAATAAATAGATGTAATAAATAAGTTTTTTTATGTAAAAATTTAAGTTCATAAAATATATAGTAAAAATGAAAGATAGAAGAATGTGATATATAATAAATATACAGTCAATACTTAATATAACAAATTTTAATATAGCAATTTTTTAATGTGAAACGAATTTTAATATATGAAAAATTTTTGATATAGCGAATTTTACTAATTATATTTGTTATAACCTTATGCGAAGTTAAATTCTTAAATAATATATATGAAAATAACTCTTGATATAACGAATTTTTTATAATGAATTTTTTTACTACAACAAAGCACGTGATTTTATAACTCAATTTTTATTGATTAATCAGTTAATTACATTATAAAAATGATTTGATTTCAAACTGCAATAACTCTGTTAAAATTAACGCTACAGATATAAAACAAATACCATTTGAATTCTCTCAATGAGACGAATCTAATGATACTAAAATCATAAAGATCTAATCATTGAATGCTTAGATCGATCAAAATATCTTTAAATATTCATTATGAAATATGTCTATCAATATTAACTCTACAGATATAATTTGAATCCTCTCAATAAAGTGAATCAAATAATACTAAAATCATAAAAATCTAATTATTGTATGCTATAATTATAGATGCCTGCTGAAACTTCCTCAAAATAATTTCGTCATACCCTTTTCTATGTTTTTAATATAGTTTTGACAGTTTTGGTTTTCGTCGTATCGAATGGATTTTGTCATATCTCTTATTATGATTTTAATATAGTTTTATCTAAGTTTCAATTGTTATTAAGGAATTTCATCCCTCATCTATAGCCTATGATTGATCAAAATATCTTTAAATATTCAGTACGAAATAACTCTATTAGTATTAATTCTATGAGTATGAAACATATATCATTCGAATCCTCTTAATGATACAATTCTAATGATACTAATTTCATAAAATTTCAATCACTGAATACCATGATAATCATAAAATCATATTTTTATTTTATATTACACAAAATTATATAATATCATATTAATGAATTTTCTTATAATGAAGGCCTAATTGGCTCAGACGCTTACTTCATTTTATTGAGTGTTGACTGTAATGATAAAATAATATATCAAAATGAAAAATTATATTTTTTTATTTTTTAATTTATATTTATTATTATTTAAAAGTTTTTAAATATTTTTTTTTACAAATAATATATTATTTAAGAATTTTTTTATTTTTAATTTATATTTAAATATCTATATTTTTAAAATTTTTTTTATATCTAAAGATTATCTTTATATATTTAAACTATAATTTCTAAAAAGACATTTAGTAAAACAATGAGATTTTTGATTTGTATAATTTGATTGTAGTAAAAAATGCAAATTTATTAGTAAATCAATATTATTATTATATATTAAATAATGAAAAAATTATGGAAAAAGTGTATTTTTTTATAATAACTTGAACAAAATCTTTTTAAATTGGATGCCAAAGTATTGAGAATTGCAATCATATATAATAGGTGATACATTTAACTCTTTAATGAATTACGTTAATCTAAAGAATTTAAAAAGAATTTTATTAAGGTTTTTCATTTATAGGTGTATTGAATTTTATATTACTGTTAATACAGCTTTGTCATATTCACAAGATCATAAAATATGTGTTCAGAATTTAATTAAAGATCTTGAATAGTTATCTTAAAAATATGTATTTATAGAATTTTATAATAGTTAATAAATTGAAAAAACTTGATCTTAGATCAAATGTTCCAAAAATGTTTGGAGGATTTCCTTCAGTTGCTATTATATCTCAGTTTCATAGAGATTTATAAGATCATCTTAAATAACCTTTATTGTCCGAAGCGAAGCGAAGAACAATATACGTCAATGCGCTATGAAAAATTTTCGGTCACGTAATTATTGCGTTCTTTGTCCGACCACGTGATCTTCAACCAATGAAATCTCAGATTTTGAAAAGTGTCGATCGCTCCGGACAACGGTTCCGTTTCCTAGTATAGTATATCATTTGAAGGTGGATATTAATATTTCCTAAATTAAAATTAATTATTAATAGAAATCTTCTGATTATTGTTGGTATTAGATATAGTATTGTATTTTTTTATATATATAGTACTATTATAAAACAAAATAGAAAGTTATTTTTTCTTAATTGTGATATGAATTTTGATGATATTAATAATAAAAAGATAAATAAATCACAAAAATATTCTCCTGCTATATTTACTATTAAAGAATTCAAGAGAATATTATATTGATAAATATTACAATTTTTTAAATTTTAAATTTATTATATAATATTAATTTAAATTATTAAAATCTAGAAATTACAAAAAAAAGGATTATCAACATAATATAAAAATGACAACTTCAATTGTACTCCCTTCCTCGTTTATTACAATAACATCCGGATTCGTTTCTTATTGAGTAGAAGTATTGCATTATCCTTTATATCTTGTGATCGAGTTTCCATAACAGAGATAGTTGAATCATTGATTTCGTGAAATTGTTGGAATGATAGGAATTGATCGTCTCTTTTCATTTTCACCTCCTCTTACTTCTTTACTACTATTTGTCTCCAGTGAATTTAACAAATTGAAATTTGAAACGGCTTTGAATAATTATCATATTACCTGCTTTTGAACGGATTAATGACTTTGACTTTTTGAACATTTGAATTCAAATTGTTTTCGATATATAAATTGATCGGCAGATTAATATATATAATTAGCCAACCTTGGCAAACACACATAAGTAAAATAAGTAAAATTTAATATGCAGGTCAATGCATTCTTGTCACATACTAAAGAATTTTATTTATTAATATTTAATATATTAAAATAACAAATAATATTCTATTTAGTACAAGCGAGTAATATAAAAAAGAATATATTTATTCTAATTTAGTATAAAATATAAAAATTAAGTCATGAAGCATTAATCCTTAGGAAATAATTTAAGCCCAAACAATTTCGATTTAATCTCTTCATAAGAAATATGTCGAACATCTGGGTATTCATCGACCTTGCGTGTGTGATTAACTTTACCAAGACTACCACGAATATAAATAAACTTAAAGTCACAGGGCTTGTCATTCTTCAAAACCACGAATTTCTTACATATTTTAGCAGTATTTTATCGTTTCATTGATATAAGCCTTATGAGTATTACCAAATGCCTCATCCAGGTAGTTTTCTATCTGATTTTTACCACTTTTATCCCGTTGAAAGGAGAGATCAATCTTTGCACAGCCCTTGTCATGTATAACGAAGTCACTTATGGATACTTGAAAGAAAATATATCCAAGTATGAAATCGAACTATGGATATCCAGCATAGCAACGCACTAGAACATCCTTATCATATCTTTTGGGTAATTTTTGGAGTAACTCAAATCTCTTGATGTCCAAATGTATGTCTAATTTATTTTTCCCAGCAAGATCTGTCGTTTCAAGCACCAAGTTGGGAAGTCACATAAATTGTTGAAATAAAAGGTCTTCAAATTGTACTCCATCTAAATTATCCCGCATAAGAGAGTTAGAATAAGCATCAGGCAACGGACAAAATTTGTATAATTCCAATAGCGCTTCTTTGGCAGATGGACAAATTGGGTTGTACAGCTCTACACCTTTACCCTTAATTCGATATATCAATTCAAAAACTACCACTCAAATCGTGTAGTGCCTCGAGGATTTTCAGGTAAGAATATATCCGCGAGTGCCAAGCGAGTTTCATTTTTGGAGGTTGTTGGAAGAGAGTTATAATAAGTTTTTGCAAGATCATAAAATTGTTTAATTCGGTCATTTTCAAAACATTTCATTATTTCTTTGACCTCATCTAGACTATGAGGATCTGTTCTAATCACTTTGGCTAAAAGAATAAGTTCACGCGGTACACAGTTGGTCATCTTCATCATTTCTACTTTTATAATATGTATATAATTACGGACAGTTGAATCGAATTAAGAGGAGATTGTGATTAACAACTGTTCGAAAGTTTTGGGTGACATCGGGCCAACGAAGATAACCCAATCCTGCATTCCATTTTTAAGGTAAACCTTTTCGAATCGTGCGTGAGCAGTACCCGTAAAAACCACACATATCCCATTCATTGATTCACTCCTAAAGGTGAGATACTTCAGAGGAAACAATGAATTAAGACGATCATGTACCGAAATTTCACTATCAAACAACACCCCATGCTCATCAACGACAAATAAAGTTTTGCGAGAAATTTTTTGCTTGAATAGATTGACGAAAATCATTGTAACATATCATTTTATAATTACACAGCCACATATGATAATTATACTTTGGCCATTGAGTAATTTGCAACAGCGAAAGTTTAATTATCTGAACTGGATAATAATAACGTAACTTTACAGGTAATCGCTGATAGGGATGGATCGGTCCTGGTAAGACCGGTCTTAGACCAGTTAATAGGACCAGTCCTTGCGGTCCTCGGTCCATATTTTGAGGACCGGTCTGGACTGGTCTTTTATTATTTATAAAATACTAAATAGATTGTTTTATTTATAAAATATTACAAAATTAGAGTTGGATCTACCCAGTTTTCATCTCTCTTATGGAGCGGTCCGGTCCATAAGTCAGTCCTTGGACCTGTCATAATAGTTTACTGTAACGATA